GGATAAAAATCAATGATTTTTTTTTAAAAAAATCAAAAAAATCAGATTTTTTGATTTAAATCGGATTTTTTTTATTTTTATCGGATTTATTTTAATAAAAAACTTTTGGGGTAAAAATCTATCGTAAGATAGTTTTCTATTTAAGATACATAAATAATGTAGTTTATTCAGCCTGAAACGGAGCTGAGTTATGTAGCAGGAGGCTGTATATTCTGCAGCACTGGGACTATCGGTGAGTCAACAGTGGGTCAAAGGAGTAGCAGAGATGACAGTTGCTCTTTAAAAATTAGGATTTAAATCGAGTTGATTTAAATCAAGCCTTTTTACTAGGGATTTAAATCATGATTTAAATTGTGATTTAAATCATGATTTAAATTGGCTGTTAATTCCCCCCCATACATCCAAGCAAAGGGATTGCCAGACCCAAGTCAGGAACCTCTAGATGCCCCTTCCAGGGAAATGGGGCACAGCTGTCCCTCGCCCCCAGAAAGTGCCAAGGTGTTTACCTTGAATCCAGGCAGTCCTCGACTTACAACACTTCGTTTAGTGGCCGTTTGAAGTTAGAACGTCGCCGGAAAAAGCCAATTTAGGGCCTTTTTTCACATACAATGGTCACATAATCAAAATCCAAAAGCTTGGCCACATATTTACAACGGTCCCTGGGGTGGTGGGGGTGGGGGGAGTCACCCGATTCCCCTTTCTCGCCAGCAAAATCAACGGGGGAAGACAAGTTTCACTTCAGGAGCCGTCTGACTGGCTGGCTGACTAACAGCAGTGATTCATTTAACGACGATGGCCAGAAAAGTCGTGAGGGCGAGGCGAAGCTGCCTGAACGAACGTTTCCCTTAGCCACAGAAACGTCGGGCTCAATTGCGGTCGTTAACTTGAGGACTACTGGTAAGGAGGGCCCATCCAGCCTGGATCTGGTTATCAGATGCCAGACGGATTAGCAGAGCCCCTGAATAGCTCAGCCATTGTGTCTCACCTGGGAACAAGTCGCTCCTTCCCTTAATGGAGGGGTATGCCTTAAGGGGGGGGGTTCTTTGGGTGTGGGGGGGAAGGCCACTATCTGACCTGGCCTGACACTGCCCACCAATCAGGGCATTCCTTAAGCACCCCCCCTCCTCTGCCACATTCGTACAACACCCTAAATCCAGCCACTGAATTAATCCTTTCTATTTACCCATTGTGCCCACCTATATATGACATAGTTAGTCCTCGACTTATGACCACAATTGTGCTCACCATTTCCACTGCTAAGCCAGACGGTCATGGAGTTTCGCGCCCCACATTATAGATCTTTTTTGCCGGGGTTGTTAAGTGAATCAGTGCAGTTCTGAAGTTGGTCAGACGGTCGTTAAGCAAATCCGGCTTCCCCGTTGGCTGTGTTTGTCAGAAGGTCGCAAAAGGGGATGGTGTGACCCCGGGGACACTGCGACCGTCGTTAAGTTCGAGTCAGCTGCCAAGTGTCCGAATTTTTCGGTCCCGTAACTGTGGGGATGTGTGAAAAACAATCACAGGTCACCAAACTGCAATGATTCACTTAACAACGGCGGCAAGAAAGGCCGCTGTCAGTGCTCTGACGAATGCCCTAATTAAGTTGAATTGAGTTGACCGCCGTAGAATGAGTCAAAACTCACTGAACAACCGTCACGCTTAGCCATGGAAACATCGGGCTCAATTGTGGTCGTAAGTGGAGGACTACCCGCAGTTGAAAAAAACGCCACAAGAATGCAAATTGCAAAATACTAAAAAAATTCAGGAGGAACCTGGAATTCTGACTCCCAAATTTTTTCCTTCCGAATAAAAAACTCAAGAATAAAATTTCAGGGAAGGAAAAAGCAACCCCGAGTTTCTCTTAAAACTTGGGGTCCCCCCCCCCCCCATACCACCCCCCCCCCCCAAGTCTTCCAAAATGCAGGAAGCCTCTTTGCAATGCCGGCATTTGCTGGGTTTTTGTCTCCTCCATCTGTTCCTCCATCTGGTTGTCTGTGCCCCAAACCACATCTGGGGAGAATCTCTATTTCCGGCTCATCTGGATTTTTCCAGCTGTCTGCCATGCATGGAACCTCCCCCCCCCGAGAGTTGGCAACTTTTAAGACTTGTGGACTTCAACTCCCAGAATTCCAATATTTGAGGGGTTGCCCCCAAGAAGAAGGGGTCAGCTTATTGTCCAAAGCCCCTGAAAAGCAGGACAAGAAGCAACAGATGGAAACTCATCAAGGAGAGAAGCAACTTAGAACTAAGGAGGAATTTCCGGACAGTGGGGAACAATTAACCAGTGGAACTACTTGCCACAAGAAGTTGTGGGTGCTCCATCCCTGGAGGTTTTTAAGAGGGATTGGACAACCATTTATCCGGAATGGTATAGGGATTCTTGTTTGAGCAGGGGGCTGGACTAGAAGACCTCCAAGGTCCCTTCCAACTCTGCTGTTCTGTACTCTTTTATTCTGTAATTCTATTCTATTCTGTGTTCTGTTCTGTTCTATTCATTTTATTCCATTTCTATTCTGTAATTCAATTCTATTTTATTCTATTCTGTGTTCTACTCTATTTCTGTTCTAGAATTCTATTGTTATATTCTATTTCTATTCTATCCTGTTTCCCCGAAAATAAGACCCAACCAAAAATAAGGCCTAGCATGATTTTTCAGGATGCTCGTAATATAAGCCCTACCCCAAAAATAAGCCCCAGTTAAGATCGTCAGCATACCGTATTTTCCCCCAAAATAAGACCTAACCGGAAAATAAACCCTAATGCATCTTTTGGAGCAAAAATTAATATAAGACCTGGTCTTATTTTCGGGGAAACACGATATTCTGTTATTCTATTCTATTCTATTCTATTCTATTCTATTCTATTCTATTCTATTCTATTCTATTCTATTCTATTCTATTCTATTCTATTCTGTTTCTATTCTATTTCTATTCTATTGTTTTATTTTATTCTATTCTGTTTTCTATTCTCTTCTGTTGTGTTTTATTCTCTTCTAGTTTTATTCCTATCCTATCCTATTTTATGCTCTGTTCAATTCTAATCTGCTAAACAAATGGTTATAAATCAAAATTTATCTGTATTCTAAATAAGGAAATATTATTTAAGCACCAGAGTCACCCCTTATCCCTCAATTCTTTTCAGAGCAAGTTTTATGCGCAAGAAATGTTTTCTCAAGACATTTTTGATCATAAGGCCAAAATTGCTTTGGCTGCCCCAAGGCCCCTTCCGTATTTCATCTGTGATCAAGAATTCTTATTATATTATTCTTATTATGTAATATTATTCTTATTTTATTATTATTATTATTATTATTATTATTATTATAATTCTTATTATAATATTCGTAGTAATATTTCCCTTCCGTATTGTCCTTTGACCCATTATTGTCATGAAATGGTCTTTTTGTAATATGCTCTTTGCAGGAAGTCTTCAATTTACAAGTCATTCATTTAGTGACCATTGAAAGTTACAACTACTAAAAAAAGTGAATTAGGGTAATTTTTTCACACTTACGACCGCTGCACGTGACGTGATCAAAATTTAGTTGCTTGACAACAGACTCATTATTTATGACAGCTGCAGTGTCCCAGGGTCACGTGATCCCTTTTGCGACCTTCAAAGCTAGATTCACTTAGCAACCAAGTTACTGACTGAACCAACTGCAGTGATTCGCTTAACAACTACGGCAAGGAAAGTCATAAAATGGGCCAAAACTCCATTCTTCAAGAAAAGAAATGGACTGCTATTTGTGCAACGTATGTGGATTCCTGCACTAGATATGGGGTTAGACTAGATGACCTCCTAGGGCCCTTCCTACCCTATGAGATTCCCTGGGGGGCTAATTTGCTCTCTGATGTTTCAGGCATTTTTTTCTTGCAGCTTAAAAATAAACCAAAATAAGGAGGCGATACAGAACAGAATTAAGAGAGAAAGGGCAGCCGATACATCTCAATTAGACTTGCAGCTTGGCTCGCTGACTTGAGCTCTCCATTTACTCATTTCAAAAGCAGGTGGTTACCAGGAACCTTCCTTAAGCACTGTACATAGAAAAAGTGCACAACCATCACAGGAAAGAAGCTAATTCTGACATTATAAACTATTTGGGAAAGGGGAAATAACCCAAATCCTATATACTTTACTAAAAAAAAAAACAAACAAACCCACAAGCAGATATAACTTGTTAAGGAAAATCTCCTTTGTGACAATGAGGTCTAGCACCATGCTGTTTTCATTTTGGAAGGCCCAGAAGGTGCCCACATGTTGAGTGGATTCCTGGCTTTAACTTATTGCAGAATTTCAGCCCCCACCCCTTTCACCCCCTATGAGATTTCCTGCAATCTCCTTTGAAGTAGATTGGGGGGGGGATCAGAAATGTGAAATATAACCGAATATAAACAATTTAATTCTCTTTTTTTTTCTCTTTCTAGGGGGGTGACCTCTGCTCCTAGAGAAGGGATCAATATTTGGGGGGGACCCCAGAAAACTGCTGGGGGAACCAGCACAATTAATCCCACCCACCCTTTTTAACTAACCCACATTAAACTGCATCATTGCAGGCTACTAAGTCTTGCAAATTTGTACCGAGCGACCCCTGTACTTTGCAACTAAACTCCGATCCAGTTAGTTTAGGCGAAGCATTCCTACACACACACACACACACACACACCCAACTCCCCATGCAATCCGTTTTTCTTTCCTTTTCATCAAAGTGTCCGGTTGCAACTAACTGGAAACGAAACCCACACAAACACACAACTCCACCGTTATGCAAAAAGCATCTTTTCTTTCTGCGGAATTCATCGATTTCCTTTTTTAATTTTTTTTAAAAGGCGGAGGAGGGGTTGCCATTCCTGGAAATGCAACACAACACACAACACAAAGACACAAACTTGGATGGTTTGCAAACTTGGTTTGCAATAAACCAAGATCAACTGGGAAAACAAAAAAAATAAAAAAAAATAAAGTTTGCCACAAACTTCCAGCCAACCGCTCAATCTCCTTACCTGCTCGCTGCCTCCCGTCCAGACGTTCCGGGCGACCCTCCGAAGGTGCGGGCATCGATCCGGAGACCCCCACCCACACCCTGCCTGCACCCGAGGGCTGCGCGTCCACACCCGGCCAGCGATCCTGAGCTCCCGAAACACGCGCGCCTTTCTTCCTTGCAAGGGACACGTCTGAATGCAAAAGTTACCAGCGGGCAAGCGGCGCCCCCTGGCGGCTGCGAGGCACCCAGGCGCTTCCTGGCAGAAAAGTTGCGCGGGTCTCAATTGTGTGCAAGGCGGAGAAATCGCCAGGTTGAGCTTTTGCAAGCCGGAGCCCGCGGGCGACCGGTGCAAAATCTCGAGCTGGGGAAAAAAAAACACGTCGAGGTTGCCCCGGGCGGCTGAGGCTTTGCAAGCCGGAGCCCGCGGGCGACGGGTGCAAATCTCGGACGGGCAATGAACCGTCGGGGTTGCGCTGCGAGGTTTAAGCCTTTGCAAGCTGGAGCCCGCGGGCGACGGGTGCAAATCTAGGGACGGGCAATGAGCCGTCGGGGTTGCGCTGAGAGATTTAAGCCTTTGCAAGCGGGAGCCCGCGGGCGACGGGTGCAAATCTCGGACGGGCAATGAACCGTCGGGGTTGCACTGCGAGGTTTAAGCCTTTGCAAGCTGGAGCCCGCGGGCGACGGGTGCAAACGTTGCATGGGCAAAGAGATGCCGTGGTTACGACTTCGGGGCTGCCAGCTACGCCTGGCATACAGTCCTGCCCGGGGAATACAATAGAGCCGGGATATACCGGCACCGGAGGAAGAGGGAGGTTTTAAGGGCGGCTGCAGGCAGGCAGTCCCACCGGTACAGCTTCCAGACGAACGCAAGACGATGCTGCATGAAGTTGGCAAATGCCCAGGGTACGGCAAGGACTTCGCGCCGCAGGAAGAGGCTGGAATTTGAGACGGGGAGGGATGCCTGCAAGATAATTTTTGCAACCCGCAACTGGCCCTCTCCGGGCCGGGAAGCCTCAAGCCTTTTCTGGGCACTTTTCTGGGCACAGCCAGCGGCGGCCCGGAAAACCTCTACCAACCCGTCTCAACCCGCAGAGAGCGCCGTCTAGGCTGGCACAGCCGCCTGGCTCCCTCCCCGACGGTGGGGAAGAGATGGCACTTCGCCCGTGCCTGCCTCCGGGCTGCCAAGGGTGGCTGCCCGTTTGGTGCAACGCCGCCACCGGCTCGTCTGTCCCCGTCCCGGGTCGCTGTGCGGAGCAACGACGGCGGCGGCAGCGGCATCACAGCTGGTACCGGCCGGCTTGCACCCCGCGGACGCGTTCCCCTTGCTCCTGCACCCCGCGCCGCTCGCCGCCCTCCTGCCCGCCCGAGTGGCACTCCTCCTGGCAGCGCCCCCAGCCCGTCGCCCCCAGCCCCGACGGCTCGTCCCGGCTCTCACGCTCGGCTTGCGGCTGGTGCTGGGCGCGGAGACCCACCTCCTGCTGGCCCGACGCCCGGCCTTCCTCCGCCACGCCGCCCCCCGAAGCCGGGCAAAACCCCGGGTGCGATCCCGACCGACGGGGCGGCGATTCTGCCCCGGGCGGCCGAGGTTGCTCCTCCTGGACGCCGCAGCGATGCTCTCCGCGACGGCCCGCCTGCTCCTGCGCCCCCGCGCCCTGCCGCTCGCCCGCCCACAGCACCCACCCGCCGGCCCACGGCAGCCCGACGGCCCGCGCCCGACGGCGCCTCCGACGGCCCGACGGCGCCTGGCTCTCCCCCTCCTCTTCCTCCGCCGCCTCCTGGCTCCCGTCGGCGGGCCGCAGGGTCTCCTCCTGCACCCAGACGCCCCAGGCCTGCTCCTGGACGGCGCCCACCAAGCCGCCCGCCTCCTGGACGCCGCGGCTCAGCCCCAGCGCCTCCTGGCCCCAGCGCGGCCGGATGGCTCAGCTCCGACGACGGCTCGGCCGCCCCTCGCCGGCCAAGCTCTCCTGCCCGCTCGGGGACCGGGGAAGTTCGACGGGGCGGCCTTTGCAAGCCCACAAATTCTTCCTCTGCGACCCGACCCCGCCCCGGATTCGTCTCGCCCGGGCTCCTCCCCACGCGGATCACGCCAAGTTCTCGTGTTCACTCGGGGATGGGGAAAGCTCGAAGGGGCGGCCCTTGCACGACCACAAACTCGACCCTCCCACCCCCGGCTCTGCGACCCCCGCCCGGACTCCTGTCGCCCGGACTCCTACCCACGCGGAACACGCCAAACTCTCTCCCCGCTCCGGGATGGGGAAGTTCGACGGGGCGCCCCTTAGGCACCCCCAAACTCGTCCCGCAGATTCTGACGCCCGCCGGCCGGACTCGTCTCGTCCGGGCTCTTACCCACGCGGATCACGCCAAGTTCTCCTGGCCGCTTGGGGATGGGAAAAGCTCGATGAAGCGGCCCTTGCACGCCCACAAACTCGCCCCGCAGGCTCTGCGAACCACCACCACCACCCCCGGCCCAGACTCGTCTAGCCCGAATTCCTACCCACGCGCAACACGCCAAGCTCTCCTGCCCCGCTCAGGGCCGGGGAAGTTCGACGGGACGCCCCTTGCGCAACCCCAAACTCGTCTCGCAGATTCTAACCCCCGCCGGCCGGACTCGTCTCCTCCGGGCTCCTCCCCACGCGGATCACGCCAAGTTCTCCTGGCCGCTTGGGGGACGGGGAAAGTTCGACGGGGCGCCCCTTGCACGCCCCCAAACTCTTCCCGCGACCACCGCCCCGGACTCCCTCTCGCGGGGTTTCTACCCACGCGGAACCCGCCGAGTTCTCCCGCTCGCTCAGGGACGGGGAGAGCTCGACGGGGCGCCCCTTGCACGCCCACAAACTCCCGAGGCGCCTCTCCCGGGCTCCTGTCCACGCGGATCCCGTGGAAGTGGGGCTGGGGGGGGGATGCCGAGGGTCCGGACTGGCGTAGGGGGGGTCCTGGAGGGGCAGGGGGGGGTCGCCCCACGAAGCGGGGGGTGGGTGGGCTGGGGTCGTCTCTTAAGTCTCCGGAGCTCCGCGCGGCGGCAGCAGCAGCAGCCCCTCCGAAGCCGGAGAAAAGATCGCCGGCGAGGCTAGACGGAGGCGGCGGGAGGCGAACGCTTCTCCGCTCGGGTTATGTAAGCCGGCCGCGATGACGACGCAGCTCCGGGAGGCAGCACCGCGCGCCCCCGCGAAGGGCCGCCCGGCCGCGGGGCAAGCTCTTCCCCCCCGCCCCGGCCGAGAAGAGAAGGAGATGGAGGATGCTCCGGGTCGAGTGGTCCAGCCGTTCCTGCATCCCTGCATCCTCCCGGACGCAACTCGCTGCAGACGCCGGCTGGGGCTGGAGGCGGCCGAGGAGAGTCGGGGAGGGGAGGGGAAGGGGGGGACGGTGGCGCAGTGGCGAGGGGTGCCAAAGCTGCGTGGACACCTTCTTCCGGAGTGGGGGAGGGGGCAGCGGGTTGGGGGGGGGAGGGCGGTGGGGTTATGCAACAGGGCAGGACCAGCTGAGCAGGAAAGTTTGGGAAAGGAAGGTTGTGGGGAGGGTCTGTCCTTTCCCTGGGTTACGCCGGGGTCCCCGGGGATGCGGCGGTGGCGGCTGCTGATGCTAAGCTGGGAGGTCACATTGCCCCCCCTCCTCTTCTTCCCTCGGTGCTCCTGCAAGCTGGCGCCCGCGACATTCCCGGCCGAGTCAGCTGGACGAGAGGTGGAAATGAAACGTTTGCCGCTTCGGAAAGCCAAACAAAGCTGGGTTTGGGGGGGTGATTAATCTTTTTGGGGGGGTGTTGGGCAGCAGGGAAGGGATTACACAATAGGTGAGTCCGTCCGGTAATTACAGAGGCTGGATGCTAAATAATAATAATAACAATAATAATATTATTATTAAATAAACCGGGAATGCACCTATGAAAACTGCATGACCTGACCCGAGTTTGCATGTCATGTGAAATTGATCTTGGGAAGGTCGGTCTGGTGGCTGAATTTGCCCGAGTGTTTGACCCAGACAGCTGTCTGGATGACGGCTGTAGCCCAGCGCTTCCCAGCAGGCAGCAGGAGGATGGAAAAGAACAGAAAGTGATAAAAACGCCTGAAATGTGACTTGTGCAAGGGGGAATTTTTTTTTTTCCCCAAAAAATCTGCTTTCTCAGAGGCCGGCTGCCTTTTCTTGGCAAATTCAGCACAAGTGCCAGGACAGCAAATTGGTGGCTGGAGATGTTTCTCTCTGCTCCTGCTGGGAAGTTGGGAAGTTGGGTGGGGGGGGGGGATAGGGGGGGGGGGAAGGAAAGAAAATGAAAAGGGAAGGAGGAAGGAAGGAAAATGAAAAGTAAGAGGGAGGGAGGAAAGAAGGAAGGAAGGAAAATGAAAAGGGAGGGAGGAAGGAAGGAAAAGGAAGAGGGAGGGAGGAAAGAAAATGAAAAGGAAGGAAGGAAAATGGAGGGAGGGAGGAAGGAAAATGAAAAGGGAGGAAGGAAGGAAAATTAAAAGTAAGGGAGGAAGGAAAATGAAAAGGAAGGAAGGAAAATGGAGGGAGGAAGGAAAATGAAAAGTAAGAGGGAGGAAGGAAAATGAAAAGAAAGGGAGGAAGGAAGGAAGGAAAATGAAAAGGGAGGAAGGAAGGAAGGAAAAGGAAGAGGGAGGGAGGAAAGAAAATGAAAAGGAAGGGAGGGAGGGAGGAAAGAAGGAAGGAAAATGAAAAGGGAGGAAGGAAGGAAGAAAAATGAAAAGTAAGAGGGAGGGAGGAAAATGAAAAGAAGAGAGAGGGAGGGAGGGAGGAAAATGAAAAGGGAGGAAGGAAGGAAGGAAGAGGGAGGGAGGAAAGAAAATGAAAAGGAAGAGGGGAGGGGAGGAGGGAGAGGAAGAAAGGAGAGAAGGGAGGAAAGATGGAGGGAAGTAGGGAGGGAGGGTTGGGAATGAAGGATGGAGGGAGGGAGGAAGCAAGCAAGCAAGTGGGGAAACGAAGGAAAGAAAGGAGAGGAGGGAGGAAAGAAGGTGGGAGGGATGGGAATGAGGAAGGAAAGAAGGAAAAGGAAAAGGAACAGGAAGGGAGGAAGAGGGGAAGGGAGGAAGCAAAGAGGGGAAGGGAGTGGGGGAAGGAAAGAAAGGAGGGGAGGGAGAGAGGGAAGAACGAAAGAAGGAGGGTAGTAAGGAGGAAGGAAGGATTGAGAATAAAGGAAGGAGGGAGGAAGAAAGCAAGCAAGAGTGGGGAAATGAAGGGAAGAGAGGAGGGAGGGATGGAAGGAAGGAAGGGATGGGAACGAGGGAAGGAAACAGGAAAGATGAAATAAAGGAGGGAAAAGGAATAGAAAGTAAGGGAAAGAAAAAAGAGTTAGAGAAGGGAGAGATAAAGAAAAAGAAGGAAGGATAGAAAGAAAGGGAGAAGGAGAAAAGAAAGAAAAAGGGAGAGGGAAAAAAAGAAAAGAAGATTTGAAATGGTTTGGGGCTCATGGTTTCTTGGATCTGCCCCCCTGAAGATCTGAAATGCATGATTTTCTCAACCAGGGCAATTTGAAGATGGATGGATTTCAGTTCCCAGAATTCT